TTACATCCATTACAATATGCATCTCCTCTGGCGGCCAGACACAATTTAGCCTACAGTGTCTGCAATACTAGGAAACTACGTGGGCCACGTGTAGCAAAGAGTTCCACAACTGTGACATTTAATTAAAAATAATATATCTTGAGATTTTATTTCAGTTTCATGTATGTCATTGAAAAGGATAGCATTATCACCGGCTCAACAAGTAGTTTAAGACATTGGGAAGAATAAATGCCATTTAAAAAACATCTGAATGTCAACTGCAGTTGGTGCATTAACCAAATGAGCTATGTCACTGGCATTGTCAGTGTTAATTGGTGACATTAAAAAAAAAAAAAACACAGCAAATCGATGGTGTTAAATTCACAGAAAAAAATATTGGATCAAATCAATTCACTGTGGAGATTTGCAGATCATAGCCAGATGTTGATTCACTTGGTGTTATTGTGCCACGTGTAGGAGAAAGTAAACGAGATGCAACTTGTAATTAGGATGTTGTCCTTGCATGCACTTTGAGACAAAGAGTTAAACAAAACAAAAAAACACCTCAGGAATAAATTCTACATTTCATTGGTTTCCTTAGTGAGTACTCCTTGAGCTGTATTACCCATAAGACAACCAAGAAGGCCTCTTTGGGCATAAATTCAGACTCTTGTCTAAACCCAAAGCTACTGCAGCCACTACCCTCAAACCTTCAATCTCCCTGCATGGCAATTTGGATTCCCCCACCAGCAATGTATTATTATGTGTGAAATGTCATGATTCCCTTTTATTCCAGAAGTTTGGTCCTTAAGGGCCCTTAATATTGACCCATTTTCACCTGTTTCTCTCTAACAACTACTATTTGTGCTTTTTAGAAAACAAATATTTTTATCGACAGAGCCCTGAATTTGAAATGCTGAAATAGAGGAATAATATTTACTTTTTACCCACCTACATGAAATGTGAAATGTATCATATTCTGTTGTGCATTGTTTGCCTCTGAACTGAAAATGTAATATTTGCTTAGTTTCAATACGCAAGCCAGTATCATATTTCTTGTAAGTTGGAAACACACAGCTGGGCAATCACATTACAGCAGCATTTGTATTCAGTTAAGCACACAACTAATTATTAATTAGTTATGACCAAAAATCACTACATTAGAAACATATAAAAAAAATCTTAACAACCTTCTTAAAATATTATGTTTTTCGTACTTTCAAGATTCCCAACACTTTGTGTTGCAGGGCATGAAAAAGGTGACGTGCAATTGTATAAATACACATCTGTTAAATGAGTAACTATAGAAAAAAAAGTAGGATATAGTGCAGTCTTTCTTTGGAAATCTAAACAGAATCATTATATAAATATGCATTGTGCTACACGGACAAAGCTTTCAAAGCACAATGGCTACATGTTAATCAAGGACAAATTAATTACATTTTGTGTTAAATAACAATGCTGTATAATGCAGAAGTGTTTTATTTGTAATTCTTTAATTAACAAAAGAAGGAAGAGGGACAAACTGTGATTTGAAGTACTGACCCCTTTGTTATTCATTGATCCACATTGCATGATATGAGTTTAGCTATAATTTTTATTATTTAACTTTCATAGATTTAATAGTACTGCTGTCTTTTTGTATTTTTGCTATATTCAACTTATATAATGTGATGTTAATATATAACCTCTGGTCCCAAACCTATTGCTTTAATATAAAGCTTTGTACATTAATATTCATTAATGTAATGTAACATGAGTCCTTCGCCTGAGTCCCTTGTATTTTGATAAAGACACAGACATTCCACCATTGCTCTATAAAACAGTTAGCCACTTGATATCTGTTTCCAGTATTCAATAAGGTGAAAGATTAAAGGGACACTATAGTCAGCAGAATAACTACAGCTTTGTGTCTATAGCCTATCCCTGCAGACTTTTCAAAGTAAATGCTGCCTTTTCAGAGCCACTAGATGTGCTTCCTGGGTCAGCGCTGCAGAATGTGTAGCACTGACATTCAGCGTCTCCACGCCCTGCATGGAGACTCTGAACATTCCCAATATAGATACATTGATCTCTATGAGGAGATGCTAATTGGTGTAGTGCTGTGTTTTGCTGCACATGTACAATAGCCTCCCAATGCCTTCCTATAGGCATGTAAGGCAACCTATGGTGAGACTGGTGCTGTGTGGGAAAAAAACGTGAGTGAAGTCACCTTTTCACTGCACAGACAGGGGAACCTAAACAGCCACACCAATACTATAGTGTTCCTTTAATTCTAACACAATATTTGCATGCCTGACACTATAGTGTTCATTTAATTCGAACAATAAAAATTAAGTTAAAACAGAAACTAAATACAGAGAAGTCAACAAAATGCTACATTCTATAAAACATGCAATTCTTAACAAACATGTCTTTATAAAATGAATTTTTAAGGTAGAACTGAGAAAATGGAGCCTTCTTCCATTCAATTTGGAAATTTGAAATATTTTCTTCATTGTCATTTCTTTTACATATTTCAAATCTCTGTGTCTGCTCTATGTCAGCTTATGATTGATAGGTAGGAAGTTGTAATTAAGCTAATGGCATCCACAATACCTTTCAGTAGCCTGTATCTTGTTGATTAATATAAAAAAAATTTCAGATAATATAAAGATGAACATTCTACAATACAGAAAGTAATTTAGTTACCGGCCCACCCCCACCACTATGTAGTTTCAAATTTTTCTTATACAATGTGACAGAAAATATGTTTAGACTGATTTCATTACAAACTCAATCACAATGACATTTTGACTTTAAATTGTGCTCCAATTTCATACAACATATTTAGGTAAGACTATAAAAGAACTGTAATTTGAACTCTACGGAAGGGATTATATTGAAATTATTTTAACCTCCAAAACACTATAAGGAGTCTTGAAGAGTTAAACCTTGTAATATAAAGGACAACTACACGAAGAAATAAAACCTAATTCTAGTGCTGTATGAAATGAACTTAATTGTTGCACAGATCATTTGACATGTGCTGCAAACTCCATCTACCTATTACAACTCGGAGTATGGATCATGGGATACATGTATTATATTTATAAACAAATCTGTATTCATAGCATAAATCTGTAGCTCCTTTGCACCCCCTTCCTCCCGTGTGCCCCTCTGACTGACAGCCACCAGAGGCAGTCTTAACCTTGAAGGTAATTATTGCAGTTTCTCTAACACTGCAATAATTACCATTGCAGGGTTAAGGGAACAGGGCCACTGCACCCAGAACACTTCAGTGAGCTGAAGTGGTCTGGGTGCCTGTAGTGTCCCTTTAACAATGAAATACAGATGAGCTGGCTAAATGTAGGTCCTTAAAAGGACACCCTAAGAACCAAAACCTCTTCATTTTAATGCTGATAGCTCATAGCATTAGATTGAATGCTTCTTTAACAGAAGCATCTAATTTAGGCTTCCCCCAAACTCTGGCCCTCCAGATGTTGCTGAACTACAACTCCCATGATTCTATGAATGAAATAGATAGGCAGCGAATCATGGGAGTTGTAGTTCAGCAACATCTGAACATTCAGCAGGAGTTTGGGAAAGCCTGATATAATTGGTGGAGCACAGCAATTGCTACAAATGCAGATTCGGTCTTAATGCTGTTCTTTGAGGGACTCTGGATTAGCCTTGGATCATTACTTGTGATGGTCTGAGAAGAAAAGGAGCAACTGTTTTGCAAGGTCCATCCTGACACTCACTTACCTGTGTGTTAAATAGCATTTTTTAGGTGGGCCTATAATTAAATATAAACAGAATATATTAAGGCTAAAAACAAGTTTATTTATTTTTAACCTGAGAGTTACTCTTTTAAGACTGGATGGGTGGCTTGCACTTCACCAACAGCATGGCATGGTCATATTGGCTAGCCATGAGATACAAGTCACAATGAATTTATAAAGCCTCTCACTGAGTTTCTTTTTCTAAATATGCTGGATAACTGTCAACATTCTGATTGTGAAACTTACTTAATTCTCACAAGAATACATCTTTACTAGAAATAGTAATCTAAACAGTTTTCTAATCAAGATGATCAATAGAAAACAAAAACAAAAAAGTTGGGATGGACAAAATATGAGTTTTTCCAGGTTTGGAGTCAGTGTTTGGGAAGAATATGTATATATATTAAAATACCAAAAACGTATGCTATCATCTTCACTGGGAACAATGATGGTTTATGTAGTCATAGTAGACTGATATAGTGATATGGAACATGGGATACAGGACACATTTAACCAATTCCTTCCAGGAATGTTCACGATCAGTTTAAAATGATAGCATGGATAGTCACTGGACCTTTTGGAGTTACAAATATCAGTGGGTATGGATATGAATGGAAGTGTCATTAACCACACCAACCTTCCTAAGTATTTGTAGTGGTTGCTTAGCGACAAATTGCAAAATCATCAAATACAGGCTGAATTTGACCCCATACTACAATTTTGGTATTTATCAATTTGTGGCTGATAAAAATATAATTACCAAACTGTCTAATCCATACAGACTGTAGAAATTGAGTTTATATGTCCTTCTCTGAACCTCTGGTTAAGATACATACATGAATAAAAGGAAACACACTTTCAAATAGAATAAACAATGTTATATTTTTTTGTATGTACAATAGGGGTATAATTTAATGATAACAGCATCATTTGTTGTTATACCAGTATAGGCAAAATCTGAACTCCTTTTCAAATATGACCACTGAGAATGTAGTAGCAGTAAATGACTCACACGGCTTAGGATTGCTAGCATGTGGACGTCACTGTCTGTGGATTTAACATTAATAGTTTCTACATCTACGACTCACATACTAAAAAAGTCAAGAAAAAATCCCATAAAATGAAAGTAACTTTTTCAATTTCTCTGGTATTTGGCTGCCACAATGTATAATAAAATTGCATGTAGTACATGATTTAAAACTTAATCACATGGTATTTAGTGCACCAATACATATGAAATACTTTGTAATTAACGGACTTATCCTTTTTAAGTTTTTCTATACATCGACTTATGTAAGGAAGAGAGGAATTGTCTTCCTGTCTAGGCGGGCTGATGGTTAATGAGCAGATTTCTATAGGATAAGAGACAGAAACTCAAATTCCTCCCTTTAAACCTTGCTGTGCTGTGCAGCCATGGAGCCTCTGCGCACTCTGAGTTTATCACCCTACGAGTGGTCTAGAATTTTTCTTAGCATATATATTACTGAAGAGGACTCTCTTGTTCGAGAATCAAGCCATCAAACAAATTTAACAAGAACACATTACTACAGAGCTCTGGAAATGACATATTTTATGGAGATAAGAATACTCATTAGCGCTAATATATTTATCGCTGTTACAGGCAGTTTATGGAGTGATACAGATGCAATAGGAATTTTTATCATAGAACCTCTAGAGAGTCTTCTCTAAAAATAACATAGCTTCATTTAGTGGAGCATTAATTATCAATGAAAAGAAAAACCATGGAGATAAATGAGGATCAATATAACCAGAGACATGTAATGTTACCAGCCATTTATAAAACCATAATAATCATGACACAATGATTTCTAAGTTCCAAATCAGAAATACTAGGTAGATGTATATGAAATTATATAAATAGAAATGAATCCTACAAGTGGTAAAATTCTAGAAAGCATCAGAATTAAAAATGATATTTCTTGGAGTCACAGTTTTTCTGTGATTTTGAAGTATGTAGGGAACTGCACTCACTCCCATCAGTCAGAGCCAGGGTGCTTACTGTACCGGAACCAAACAACAGATTCCCAAAATAGTAGAATAAAGTAAAAGAGGCCCAGGCACTCCTTGGTTCAAGACAGGCACTTTATTAGAACCACAGCAATGTTTTGACCATCAGGTCTTTATCAAGCTTGATAGAGCTTAATAAAGACCTTATGGTCGAAATGTTGATGTGGTTCTAATAAAGTGCCTGTCTTGAACCAAGGAGTGCCTGGACCTCTTTTACTTTATTCTAGTTTTTCTATGATTGACTGTAGACCAGCTGGGGGATTCTTGAGTGACAGCCTCATAATTAGCACCTTGGTAAATGTTTTGATGTAGAAGAAAGGGCAGAAAAGTACAAATGTAAGTAAGATACCTAAATGTAAGTAACAGACCTAAAAATGGCCAGAGTTATGGAATGCATTCAAAGAGGACAAAAACAGAAAGTACAAAAGAAATGATGTAGTCAAAATCAGGTCAGAATATCTAAAAAATTACACAATTCAAATGGTAAGCCCATGGACAAAATACTCAAAAATCTAATTACTTAAAAAATAACCAGAAACTCAGACAATCAATCAACATGTATTAAATGCAAAACCTCTCTAGTGGTCCAAAGCTTGTTGCAAATTTGGATGGAATATGCAGTAAATTGGGTTGTGCTAGAAGATGTGAGTATGCACATTCAGTGTGGATCTGATATGACCAAACTAATATGGTCAGTACTTAACATTAGAGAGAGTATTGTAGGAGTGAGCTGTGTTGGAGATACTGGTTGTAAGATTTTAATTCTAAGAGTTTTATGTTTTAAAAAAAAATCTGTAATTGGGTTGTGTGTTATTTTTGATGCTTCATGTCCCGGGTTAAACAAGTGGAAAGGTGGAGGTGATGTCCAATTTAAGTTGTATTTAAGAAACGCATTACAGTTTTCTACCTGCTTACTTACATCTCCCACAATCTTTGCCAGCAATATGGTACTGGTCATATGCTATTAAATGAAATTTAATTTCACAAATGTGAAATGAATGTTCTTGTTACGGTCAGTCTTTTCATTAAGACATATTTTGGATGTCTGGTTAAGAAATAGGAAGAGATTGGATGTATTTTCATCTCTCTGCGTCAATCTGTTTCAACACCAATATCCAGCCTCTGTTATTCAATCTGTGACTACTCATCTTCACATGGTATGATTCTTCCTTCTATTTCTTCGAGATCTGTTTTATTCTCGATGGGGTCAGTTTTTATTCATGTGAAAGCTGGAACCTCCATTTACAAGCCTTCTGTTAGAATGTCTGTCACAGAGATATTAAGAAATCCTTCTGATGCTGGGGAATTTCCAGTGAGCAGCTCCTAGGGCTATGTCAAGGTGAAAACTGGGTGTTTTTGCTTTTGATGCAGAGCATAGAATCAGTGGTTGGGGCTGCTAGGTGTTCGTTTGCGAGCAGGGCACTCTCATTACGTACCAGTATGCAACTATATATGTTATGTTAAAAGTTATGTAAGATTCAGACGATAGAACCCTCAGAATGTGATATAATGTGGATTTAATTCAGCCATCAAACAATGTGTTTAACTACAAGCCACACACCTATCTCATATACTTTATGTAATGTCAACTGTTTTGTAATCTTGTTATAATGTATAGAGCTGAACAATCTGCTAGTCTTCTAATAATAAATAATTCTAAGAATAATTCATGGGAACTTTGCAGTCTGCTCTCCCCGTTCCATTCACACCTGTTTTTAAGACCCCAGTGCATGCTGTGCCATCTGGGCCACTGAGGATTCAGACTTATACTCCATCATACACCTTAAATATTAAGAGAGAAAATATGGGGAAGAGTGATAATATTGCATTGTGGAGATTGAAGATGGTGAACCTGCCACAACATCAAGTCCTACCAATGCTGAACCCTATTTGATCCCCAGAGTTTTTCTCTTTAGTGTATTTCTTTAATAGATTGGCCTATCAAATAAACTAAAGCTGAACACAGCTTTTAGTAATGTCAATTTTCATGATGGGAGGAAGGGAAAACAGGAGCAAAAGGGAAGACAAGGAAAAAGGAAAGGCAGTGGAGGAAGAAAGGAAAGAAAGGAAGGTAAGGAAGGAAGAAAATAAGTGAATACAGGGCAGAAAGGAAGACAGGGAAACAAGGAACAGGAGGAAGGGAGGAAAGGAATGTGAAGTGAAGTGAAGTGAAATGAAGGGAAGAAAGAAAGGAAAGGAAAGAAGGAAAGTGAAGGAGTACTTTCACAGTCAATACAGAGATTAAAATATGTATTTGCATGATTAGGCACAGTCTAGCAATATTTAACGCAGGGTATAAAGTATATAGTGATCATCAAATTATGCAAAGTGACACAAGGTATGAGCAAATACAAGCTCCTTGCTGCACAATGGTTTCCAGGAAATATAAACATTTGTTGTTGTTAGTCTTTCTCCTGAAAGTAAACAGGAACAAAATGAACCTATAATGCAAATATATGATAATGAAAAGAAAAATAAAATCAATAAGTTTTTTTTTGGACGGCACTTGTTTTAGGCCCATTAGTGCTTCTAGTGGCCCTTTATCAATATAAAATATATTAATGTTTCCTATAATTATATTTGCTCATTTCATTTCAAAGCATTGTTGTTATTTTTGCTGGCAGTCCGAGAGTTAAATGATTCTAGGTAGTTGAACCTTACAAAATAAAAATTAAATAATTATTTAAGTATTATTTAATTATAGTGTAACCAATGTCCAAACTAAGTCCACTTGTGTCTTGTGGTCTACGTGACCTAATGTTGACCTCGTGATTATGCAGAAATGTCTCCACTTCTGTGTGTCTATATCCCTTCAGCCCAGTCTCATGTGCTGGGCACAGATGGCAGCGGTAATTGATTCCATGCCGAAGACTAAATAACCTCTCTACAATCTAAGCTCTCACTGTATGAACCTTCCTCTCCTGAAAACACATTCTCGAGCAGATTTGTCTAAGCATAAAACAATATGCAGAAAATTAAAAGTAATTGCAGATCCAAAACTATAGACATGGCTATTTATTATTCATTATACCCTACTTAACAGATCGCAGGCAGTTTTCTTACAATGGCATATCTAAGGACGAGGGTCACACTTTAACAAGGATTGCAAAATATTTTTTTTCTCTATTTCCTTAGTTCAAATGGGCATATGTCGCTCACACAGTCTAGTTCACAGCAGAAACTCTTGCGTCGTTCCAAATGTTACACTACTGACACATCCATCTGCACTTAGAATGCAATGTTTTGATCTGCTCATGGTGGTGTGGCTCAGCGGTATAACACAAACAGTACTAAAATATATGAGAACGCTCTCTCCACAAATATCTAACTGACTAGTGCTCTTACATCTTCTTGTAGAAGCCACCTGCGGATGTTGTAGCTCCTCCATTTTAACACTTCCCCCTCCTCTTGTGCTTCTTAGAGAGCATTTGTTGCAAAGCAGTTACTAATAATGATTAATGGTTTATTTAAAAACTGCATATGCCTTGTAGTTCTATAATGATACAGAATAAATTAGGGTCAAGTCTAAGTGTTGCTGTTAATAAGGTGAAACCAGTATAACTATAGTTATGTATGGATCATCAACATCAATTGTCTGTTGTAAAGGCTCCCATTACAGGCATCACCTTATTTAATACACACAGGTACCTGTGACTTCTTTATGTGCATACTCAGAAATAATTTCTGAGGAATGCCTTGCCTCATAGGCAGTCCCATAGGATGTTTAGTAGATATGCCACCACCTGAGCATGTTGGCTGGAGGCATAAGGGAGGATTTTTTAACTGTTTGCTAGCTGGGTGATAGTGAGCAAGTGACTTTATTTACTGAGGTTGGCTTTCTCTGGACAAGATCCAGTTTACATTTAGTGTTTGGTAAATATTCAAATTCTATGTTTCATATAGGATTTGCACTCAAATATGACTGGTTTTAAACCAGGCACCAAATGGATCCAACTGAATGGTGTTCAGTAAATATAAGAATTGTAAATTTAGGTAGGATCCAGTTATTTTCACAAAATATTTCAGGACATTAAATAACCTTGTAAAAACTGTAAAACCAATTTTGCAGATATATAACATTTTAAAACAACAATTTGTTTTGTGTTTTTTTTGTTACAGGACAGCTCAAAGGACATTTCTGATATCAGGTTAATTTTAACCTCCACAGCTCCTGCCATCAATATAGTATTTTTTTTATATATATGATGTATTCTGTGTGCTATGTAAGTTTTTTCATATATATTTATTACGTACATCGTTTACTTAAAATACCATCGTTTTTTTAATGTGATAACATTTTTATATATTTAATTTGTTTTAATTCTGTATATGTATAGGGCTCAACGTTGCTCCAACCTACCTATCCTCCCTAATACACAAGTATGTCTCGTCGAGGCCCCTACGCTCTGCCAAAGACCTACGTATATCCTCTGTCTGTACTCCCACCTCTGATGCGCA